TTTTAAAACAGAAATGTGTGTTGTATTTCAATCAAAAGCTTTTTTCTGTATCTATTGAAATGATCCTATGATTTTTGTTCTTTTTGTTAGTGATAAGCTCAATTATATTTAAAGTTTTCTTAATATTCAATCAGTCCTGAATTTCTGACCTAAATCTAGAATGGTCATTGTGTATAATCTTTTTTATTTACTGTTGTAATCTCCTTGCTAGTATTTTATTTAAAATATTTATGTCAGTATTCACTAGGGAAATTGATCTATAGTTTTCTTTCTCTGTTTTGTCTCTCTCTAGTTTAAGTATCAAGATCATGCTTATATTATAGAATTTTAAACAGTTTATGCAGTATTTTAATTATTCTTTAAATATTTGGTAGAATTTACTTGTATCATCTGGTCCAGTTCCCTCTCTTCTGCCCCTCTCATTTAAAGAGCTCATTTACTTTGACCCAGCAATAGCACTTCTAAGGCTGTATCCCAAAGAGATCATACAAATGGGAAAAGGACCCACATGTACAAAAATATTTATAGAAGCTCTTTTTGTGGTGACAAAGAAATGGAAATTGAAAGGATGCCTATGAATTGGGGAATGGCTGAACAAGTTGTAGTGTATGAATGTGATGGAACACTATTATGCTATAAGAAATGATGAGCAGGCAGACTTCAGAAAAACCTGGAAAGACTTGTATGGATTGATACTGAGTGAAGTGAGCAGAACCAGGAGAATGTTGTACACAGAAATAGCCACGTTGTATGATGATTAATATTGATAGACTTAACCCTTCTCAGCAATGCAAGGATCTAAGACATCTCCAAAGGCCTCATGATGGAAAATGCTATCCACATCCAAAGAAAGAACTATGGAGTTTGAATGCAGATTGAAGCATACTATTTGCTATTTTTTTTCTTCTGTTGTGTTTTGTTTCCTCTTTCTGGTGATTCCTCCTATTGGTTCTAATTCTTCCTTACAACATCACTAATGTGAAAATATGTTTAATAGGAATGTATATGTATAGCCCATATCAGATTGTACACTGTCTTGGGGAGGGAGATGGGGAAGGAGTGGGAGAAAAATTTTAAAATCAAAAACTTATGGAAGCAATTGTTAATAAATCAAAATAAATTAATAAAAATAATAAAGAGCTCATTTATAGCTTATTCAATCTTTTTCTAAGATAGAGTTATTTAAGTATCCTATTTCCTCTTCTGTTAATCTATACAATTTATATTTCTGTAGATATTCATCCATTTCACTTGATTGCAAATTTTATAGGAATATAGTTAAGCAAAAATAGTTCCTGATGACTGCTTTTATCTCATCTTCATTGGTTTTGAATCCATCCTTTTTTATTTTAATAATGGTAATTTGGCTTCTTTTTTTAAAAATCAAATTAGTCGATGGTTTATCTGTTTTCTTGTTTTTTTTTAAAAAAATAGCTCTTAGTTTTTTGTATTAATTTAATTTTTTTCACTTTATTAATCTTTTTTAATTTTTTAGGATTTTTATTTTGGTGTTTAATTGGGTCTTTTAAATTTGTTTTTCTAGAGAGTTTTTTTGGTTATTGTTATTATTGTTGTTGTATGCCCAATTCATGATCTGTTCTCTCTCTCTTTTTATTGACATAAGTGTTTAGGATATAAATTTCCCCCTAAATATTTCTTTGGCTGCCTCCCAAATAGTCTGATATATTATTTCAATGTTTTCATTATCTTTAGTGAAATTAAGTATTGTTTCTATGATTTGTTCTTTGACTTGCTCATTCTTTGGGATTAGGTTCTTTAGTTTCTAATTAATTTTAATATGTGTTTCAAAGGCCCTTTATTGAATATAGTTTTTATTGCATCATGATCAGAAAAAAAGATGTATTTAATATTTCTACTTTTCTGAATTTGTTTGTGAAGTTTTTCTGTCCTAATGCATGATCAATTTTTTGTGAAGGTGCAATGCATAGCTGAAAATAGATATGCTTCTTTCTATTACCATTCAATAATCTCCAGGAGTATATCATATCTAAATTTTCTAAAATTCCATTCATCTCTTCAATTTCTTTATTTCTTTAATGGTTAGATTTTTCTAGATCTGAGAGAGTAAATTGAGGCTCCCACTAGAGTCTGTTTATTTTATGGGTTTCCTTGACCAAAGAGTTTATCATCTGGTGACCCATCTGCTGGTATTGTACTTTTTATACTTAGTCAGATGGGTCTTTGGAAAACAAACTTTCTGTTATTGGGTCCATATCTGGCCAAATTTACCACAGCTTGTACTCTACCATAATATGTTTCAGGAATCCTGGATAACCTCCATACCATGAGAAAGCATTGTATTAGGAGAGTATGGGAGAACATTATACAAATTAAATCAAATATATGTAGAATAGCACAAAGTTATCCTTGTTCCTGGAAGCTCTGATAATAATAATAATAATAATAATAATAATAATAATAATAATAATAATAATAATGATGATGATGATAGCTAGCATTTATAAAAAGCTTTAAGGTTTTCAGAAGAATTTAAAAATACTATTTTATTCTCACAACAACCCTGAAAGATAGGTGCTATTATAACTCCCAATTTACAAATGGAGAAACTGACACATGCAGAGATTACTTGACTTACCCAAAGTTACATAGGTAGAAAATGTCTGACGCTTAATTTGAACTCAGCTCATCCTAACTTCAAGTCCAGTGTTCTATTTTATGTATTTCATAGTCATTTTGTAGGGGGTTTCCCTTTCTAGTCCTTCCTACTGGATTTGGTTATTGCTATATAGAAATACTGTTAATTTTTATTGGTTTATTTATTTATTTTTTATCCTGCTACTTTGCTGAAGCTGCTGTCCCAATTAGTTTCTTGGCTGATTCTAGGATTTTCTGAGTAAAGTATCATGTCATCTGCAAATAGGTATAGGTCTGTTTCTTTTTGTCTATCTTTATGCCTTTCTTTCTTTTGGCTTATTACTATTTGTAGCATGTCTAAAACAATCTTAAGTAACAGTGGGGAAAAGAGACATTCTTGGTTTTCTCCTTTATTTACTAGAAGAAGCTTCTAGTGTTTCTTAATTTTATGAGTTACTTTTCCTTTTCTATGTGAATAGTTTGGTTTTTGAAAGGGGAAGAAAACAAACTTTTATTAAAGAAAAGTGATGGATTCATCTTGTGAGTGATATAAGATACTTACCCTTTTCTATGTGCATAATATGATTGTTGAAAGAGGCAGGAGGAAAAAAAAACTTTTGTGCATGAGAAACTGATAAAAAGCTGTGTGTAAAGAAAATTTCCATTGAAGCATAAGTAAAGAAATATATCATTTGGAGGGGAGGGATTGTGTTGTGCCTGTGCAGAGACTGTGATTGTAAATACTGCTATCTTTGGGTTTTAATTATATAATTTTCATATAGAAATGTCTTTCTAGTCCTGTGCTGTGTTGTACTTTGTCAGAGTCTTTTTATGCATCTATTGATATAATTATGAGGTTTTAATTTTCAATTTTATAAGCTATATTTATTGTTTTCCTGCTGCTGAATAATCCTTATATCACTGGCATGATTCCATCTTGATCATAGTGAATATATATATCATATACATATAATATAATTAGATGTATAGTGAATATATTATAATTATATGCCCATAATTTCATCAATCAATAATATTTATATATACTTTATATAATATTAACATATTTAATACAATATAACATAATATTGATAATATATGTTGATAATATATCTATTATATGTATGCAACATGTGCATATAATAATATAGAATATGCTTATAGTGTATACCATGTACATACAATATATTTATTGAAGTCTCTTGTTTAAATTTCATTTTAAATCAATATTTATTAATAATATTGGTTCATAGTTATAATTCTCTGCTTTATCCTTCCCTGATTTAGGTATTAGGACTATGCTTTTCTCATAAAAGGAGTTGGTAGTTTCCTTTTCCATTTTTTGAGACTAATTTATGTACCATAAATATTAATTCTTTAAAGTTTTGGTGCAATGCTCCTGTAAATCCATCTGGAGCAATCTTTGTGTCCTCTGGTTCTTCTCCCACTTTTTAAAGGAATATTTCATTCTCCTTAAATGTCCTAGGGAAGTGATGTCAAACTTAAATAATAAAGGAGGCCACTAATCCATAATAAGGATCCCTGTGGGCAGTTTTAAAATGTAATGTTATCTAGATTTTATTGTATTTTTATTTATTTTGTTAAATATTTCCCAATTACATTTTAATCAGGTTCTGGCAGCACTCAGGTAGATTACAGGCCTTGTGTCTGACACCTCTGTTCTGGAAAATGGAGAAATGTTTTTCAAACTCCTCTACCTTTTCTTCTAGGAGGGTGGTCTGCAAGATAAATATCATGCATCTTGCCCTCCATACCTGCTGGAAATGAAATCCTTGGTCCTCAGTTTTCTGTCATTTTTGGTAGCTCTTATGAATAATTCCATGGAAAACTGCTGTGTCAAACTGCTTGTTGGACTTGAAAGGAATATGAGGGATACATATGCGATGATTGATGATAATGATGATGGTGATGGTGGTGATGGTGGTGATGGTGGTGATGGTGGTGACAGTAATGGTGGTGATGGCAATGATGATGATAATTTTGTCCTGGCAACCAAGTGGTGCTCTGAATTGAGTTCTGGACTTGGATTCAGGAGGACTGAATTCAAATCTTGCCCTAGACACCTACTAACTATGTGACCCTGTTTGCCTCAGTTTCTTCAACTGTAAAATAGGTATTAAAATAGTACTGTCTCACAGGGTTGTTGTGAGGATGAAATGAAATATTTATAAAGTACTTTGCAAACCTTAAAGTACTACATAAATATTATCTGCAGCAGCATCTGCCATTTCTATTGTCCTCTGGGTTTATAAAGTACTTTTCTGAAAACTCTGTAAAAATTGTCCAAGTATCACTAGCCCCATTTTATAGATGAAGAGTTGTCATTGCAAGAGCAACTTACCTTGCGTGTTTCTTCCCTATAGGTGGCAGAAGTGTTTCAGGGCATATACAAGGTGTTCCCCTTTGTCACATTCTCGAATGTTCAGCTGTCCCTTCTGAAAACTATCCCGAAGTTTGGGCAACAGCACACTCAGGAAGTGGTGGAAGTACTCCTGTCCTTCGCCCGACCAGTGGACAGGTACCACCAAGCCTTGGGGGGGATGGGGAGGACTGAGTCTACTGCCTGAAACTTCTGCATGTGTCTTCAGAACCAGACCCTGGGCAAATCATGGCTCCTCTGGCCTTCTGTTCCTTCTTCTGCAAAATCTGTGGATTGGACTACATGATCTCTAAGGTCCCTTCCAGCTCTAATGTGTAGGATCTTATAACCCTAAGTCTCTAGTCTCAGAAATCACTGAAGAGGTGAGCCACAACAAACCTTTGCCTTTGGAATTCCTTTAGAAAAGGGGGCTCCCCAAGCTCTCAGAACCATCCATTCCTTCCACTCACTGTGATCTTGGGCAAATCCTTCCTCCTCTCTAGGCATCCCTTTGTCCCATCTTTAACATAGAATCACCTATCACCTGGGAAACAAGAAGAGTTTGGTGCTTAGAGTATCTGGAGTAGAAAGAGGCAGGCAGGCTCTTTTAGCCGTCCCAGGGTTGTCCTTTTCTATTCCACTCTTTCTTGAGTAGTGATCAACCACCCAAAACCCTTAGTAACTCTTTGTTCCTGCTTATTATGCTACAACTAGCCTGATTAGTCAACCTGCCGGGAGCAGTCCCTTCTTTTATAGATTCATAGATGGTGAAAGTGACCTTACAATGTGGGACACGAAGACCAGAGCTGGCAGACACCTTAAAGGATAGCTGATCTATCCTCCTCATTTGTCAGAGAAGAAAATGGGTGTCAGATATGTTGCTTTCCCCAAATTGCCTCTACAACAGGTTACAAATCCTGATATGGGCTTTTCCCCAAGAACACTGAATTTGGAGTCTGAGGACCTGAGTTCAAATCCTGTCTCTGTTAATTACTATCTGAGGGGCCTTGAGCAAATCATTTAACCTCTCTGGGCTTCCATTTCTATATGAAGGAATTTTACTCAGTGACTTCTATGGTCCCTCCTCTCTCTCTAAATCTGTGATCTGTGATGACTTTGCAAGCCATCAGAGGAAAGAAGATAAAAATGAAAGTAAAAGTTTATATCCCAGGATTATCTAGCAATTGAGCCTAGCTATTTCCTACTAAGAAGTCTTTAATCTGGTCATATCAGTCAATCTGGCAACATCAGTTTTCTAGGCTAACCAGGAATGATATTTATATATAGTAATAATAATCACACTTACATATAATGTATAATCTTACATATAGTAATATGCTATCATACCTAACCTATAATAATATGTAGTGTACATAGTATACATACCTGTAATAATATGTAGTATGATAATGTATAGACATAGCCAAACCCCAAAATATGCAATAATACTCACACATGATAATAAATAAATATGTATGTATATACATACACATATCCATGTCCTTCTATAGTAATATTACATGTATTATACACACATCCGTCTATAGTAATAATTAGCCATACCACCTCATAACACTGTGTGGTCACATTCGTATATGATAATGTTGGGTCATGCCTATGCACAGTAATATTTATTCACATCCGTATATTGTCAGTCAACAAGCATTTATTAAATGCTACTATGTGTCCTACACTGTGCTAAGTGCTGGGGATATAAAGGAAGGCAAAAATATTCTAATGAAGGAGATAACAAGTAAGTAATATGCAAGGTATTTATGAAGTAGATACAAGGTTATCTCAGAAGGGAAGGTTTTAGCAACTGAAGGGAAAGGTCTCCTGTAGAAGGTAGGATTTGAGCTGAGACTTTTTTCCTTTCTTTTTTTCTTTTGACTAGGCAGTGGGGTTAAGTGACTTGCCCAGGGTCACACAGCTAGTAAGTGCCAAGTATCTGAGGCTGGATTTAAACGCAGGTCCTCCTGACTCCAGGGCTGAGCCTTTTAAGGAATCCAGGGAAACTAAGAGGCAGAAATGAGGAAGGAGAGTGTCCTAAGTATGGAGGAAAACCAATGAAAAGGCACAGATATGGGAGATAGAGTATTCAGTGGAGCCAGATCATAGAGTGAATGGAGTGGGCAGTAGAGTGAAAAAAGACTGTTAACTAGGAAGGGCCAGGTGGACGAAGAGCTTTAAGGACCAAACAGAGGGTTTTCCACTTGATCCTGGAGGTACTAGGCATCCACTGGAATTTATTGAATAACAAGGTAATGTAATTGGGTCTGCTCTTCAGGAAAATTGCTTTGGCATCTGCACGAAGGACAAATACTCAATACAACCATCTTCAGTCATACCCACATAAAGTAATCTCCAGATATGCCCACATGAAATTCCCCCCTGCCCCTCCTGAGGAAACGGAAAGCTACTGCCTCCCAGTTCTGTGGAAGCATTTTTTCTCTCCCTCCCACACTTCTCCAGTGAAGTCTCCCCTGAACTTTGGGCAAAAGAGGAGTGGGGACAGTGTGAAGTAACCCGGCTACACTTTGTAGGCAGGTCATGGAGATGTGGAAGATCCTGGCAATGGATAAAAATCTGATGAGGAGACTCGTGACCCTGCTGTACCTGAAAATGAAGAATCGGCCATCGGAAGAAGACATGATTTCAAAAAACATAATGGATAAGACAGAACTGGAGTCCATAGAGGTAAGCAGCGATGCTGGGCATGCTTCCCATAACACTTCTTATAAGGAGGCATCTTAACCTCTACTTTGAGTAGACAACAGAATTATTGACTTTTAGGGTTGGAAGAGACTTTTATTTTACAAAGGAGGGAATTAAGATCCAGAAAGGGCAAATAACCAGGGGAAATAACTTGTCAAAAGTAACACAGTGACTCTGTCTGTCTGTCTCTGTCTGTCTGTCTCTCTCTTTCTGTCTCTATCTCTGACTCTGTGTGTGTGTGTGTGTGTGTGTGTGTGTCTGTCTGTCTGTCTGTCTGTCTCTCTCCTCATCACACTGCTTAAACTTCCACTATTAGATTGCCCATCTACCTTGTAGGGCTTAATTTATGAAGCTCTCTTGGCTGTTCACATTTTGGGGGTTCCTCATCTTATTGTTCCTAGACACAAGATTCTCAAGAGATATACCTGCAGGGTGGCTCTAATCAAATGAATGACAGTATAGTCTAAAGGACACTGAACTTAAATCTGAGAGATCTGGGTTTGAGTGCTGACTTATAAACTTAACAAACTGTATGACACTGGCCAAGTCATAGGTAATCATAAGATTTAAGGTCCCACAGCATAGAAGGGGTCTTAGAGATCATTTAGAGACTGAGAGCCAATAGGTATCATAGAATTCCAGATTTAGAGCTAGAAAAGATTTTAAAGGTTATCTAGTCTAATACCTTTTTTTTTCCCCACAGCTGAGGATGCTGAAGCTTAGGGATAAGAACTGACTTGTCCAAGGTCACTCAACTAATAGGTAGTGGATCCAGAATTTGAACCTACATCTCTGACTCTATATCCAGTGCTGTTTCTGCTATATCACTCTAACTTCCTTGCTATACCTTTCTAAGCCTCAGTTTCCTCTGTGAAGTAGGAATTATGATACTTGTCCTACCTACTACACATGATTGTGAGAAAAACACATTGTAAGTTACAAAACACTACAGAAAAATAGATTTTAATATATTTTTCTGGACATAGCATCTTCCCTGAATCCCTACATGCATTCCTGTTCAGAAGAGCATGACAGAAGGAATCCTGAGATTTTTATTTTCCTGAGCCTAGATTTGGCCTTAAGCAACCAGTGTCCTGTTTTCTCTCCTTTGGACCCTACCCTGGGTCCTTCTTGGTTCTTTAGAGCTAAAGTGTCCTTTCAAAGACAAAAGCTGAGTGATAACTACTTTTTGAAGAAGCTCAGTTAGCAGTGACCACTCTCTCTTTCCTTCTGGCTAGAGAAGAAGACATACTCCCACCTCTTGTTAAAGTTGATCCCTTAGCCCTAATCTAGGGGTGAGGAACCTATGGCCTTGAAGCCACATGTGGCCCTCTAGGTCCTCAAGGGCAGCCCTTTGACTAAATTCATGTGGATATGCTTGAGGACCTAGACTGAATCCATGTGGATGCACTTGAGGACCTAGAGAGCCACACGTGGCCTTGAGGCTGAAGGTTCCGCACTCCCATTCTCAACCTTCCCTATCTTCTGTAGCACATTTTACCCCAAAGTCATCTCATTTCTCTGAGGTGTCTTCAATCTCACCCTCTCCATTGCTTCCTTGCCTTCAGACTTTAAGCATGCTCAAGGAGCCCCAGTATTTTTAAAATCACTTCTTTAGCCTTTCTAACCCATTCATCTAAGGATCCCTTTCCCTTTTACTGCCAAACTTCTTGAAAAAAAAATTGTCTACACCTAAAGCTTCCACTTTCTTACTTCCCAATGTTTCCTTAACTTCTTGCAACCTGATTTTTGTCTCCACAATTCTATTGACCCTGATGTCTGTTAGGTAATATTTGACTTGACCTCTCAATCAATGGCTTGCTCATTATCCCATCTAATAATTTTTTTTTTCAGTCCTCTTCCTCTTAGGGCAGTTAGGTGGTGCAGTGGATAGAGTGCTGGGCCTGGAGTCAAGAAGACCTGGATTCAGATTTGGCCTCAGACACTTAGTAGCTGTGTGACCTAGGGCAAGTCACTTAAGCCTGTTTGCCTCAGTTTCTTCATCTGTAAAAAGAAGGAAATGACAAATCACTCCAGTATCTTTGCCAAGAAAACCCCAAATAGGGTCACAAAGAATAAGGCATGACTGAAAGGACTGGACAGCAACAGCTTCCTCTTCAATCTATTTACAGCATTTTATATATATATATATATATATATATATATATATATATATATATATATATTTGGCTAGGCAATGGGGTTAAGTGACTTGCCCAGGGTCACACAGCTAGTAAGTGTCAAGTGTCTGCAGCCAGATTTGAATTCAGGTCCTCCTGACTCCAGGGCTGGGGCTCTATCCACTGTGCCACCTAGCTGCCCCAGCATTTGCTGCTTTTGATCACATCATCCTTCTCTATATTCTCTCTCTTTGGCTTAAAATACCACATCCTTTTGGCTCTCCAAGCACCCTTATGTCTCATACCAGATCTGGCTTCTTGTCCTCTGTATGACTCATTAAGGCAGATGATTCCCAAGGTTCTGTCTCTATAACTCTTCTTTCTCTTTAGTCCATAAATTTGTCATTTCTTTCACCCCCTTGACTTCAACTACCAGCTCTATAGAGATGACTATGGCCCATATTTCTAACCCTGATCTCTTTCCTAAACTGCAGTGGCCCCATCTCCAGCTGTCTATAGGGGGTCTTTGCAAACCATTAAACTCAACCCCAAGCTGGCTCCTATTTCTCATTTTGCTTTTCATGTTTGCAGCACAATCATTCAACTTGTCTTTCATAGTATGGTGAAAAAAGAATGCTGGCTTTGGAGTTAGGAAAGACCTAAGTTCATATCCCACTTTCAATCAGTTAACCTCTCTGAGCCTTAGTTTCTTTACCTGTAAAATGGAGATAATACTTGTGTTAACTAGGCCAAGGGACTGTTGTGTAAATCAAATGAGATAACATGTTAAAACCCTTTGAAAATCTTTTTTTAAAGCATTTAGCTATGTTAGAAACCTTGGTATCAGTTCTTGCTCTTCCATCGTCCTCACTTCTCACATTTAGCCCTAATCCTTAACAACATCTCTTGAGTCATCAGCTCTTCCCCGTTCCCATAGTCAGTCATCTGTTTTTGGCCCTGATTACTACCTGCCTGAATATTGCCACAGCTTCCTAACAGGACTTCCTTGGTGCACTCTTTTTCTCTTCCGAACCACCCTTCACACAGCTTCCAGATTTCTCTCCTTATGTCTAGATCTAGTCATGTCAGACCCCTGCCCCAGACCCTTCAATAGCTCCCCATTGCCTAATGAGTAAGTTCAAACTGTTTAGCCTGACATGTATGGCCTTCCACAGTCTATTGCTACTTCATCTTTCCAATTGTATTTCAAATCTGCTTCCCATGCCCTATGCTCCAGTTCAATGGCACTGATCACCATTCTCCATACATGCTATAATTTTTTTCAGCCTCAGTGCTTTTTCGTAACCTCTTACTGAGGTAGTGATAGGAAAATAAAGCTAGATGGGCAAGGTCAGGCTGGATGTTAGAGGACCTAAAGACTGAGAGGCTGGACTTGATTGGAGAGCCGTGGTTGGCTTCTGATCAGGGGAGTGCCCTGATAAAAGTGGCACAACTTGAAGCTGTGTGTTTTTTCTCATCCTCCCACCCCAACTCCCTTTGTAGGCACTGAATACAGTGTATGAGCTCCTCTACATCCGGGAGTTCCGGATAACAGTCCATTGGGCCTTTTCCGGGATTTTTTTGGGCCTGTTGACACAGCTGCACTACCTCTTTGAACTGGACATGGTTGACAACTCTCTGGACAATTTTGAAGATATCCTGAAGCTGGAGTATCTCAGTCCTTTCAGGTGAGAGCCTCAGGCCTCTGGAGATTGCCTCTTGCGAGCCATCGCAGGTGCTTCACTCTACCTGACTCTTCCCATTTCTGAGCCAGAGGGAAAGCTCCGCTGTTCAGTAGTAACAGAAGAGGCCAACTCTCCCACTCGAGTCTTTGCTCTTCCTTTTCTGTAATCTTAACCCTGACGTGTTGCCTGGAGTTTGCGTGATCATCTTTCTGACCAGCCAAGGCACCTGGACCTGAGTGAGACGACTTTCTTTTGTCCATTGGCCCCAGGCTGGGCCCATTGCAAGGACAAAGTAGGTGGGGGGAAAACAGCAGATAACACGCATACAGGGAATCACCTTCTTGTTCCTAACTTCTCCAGTTCGTTCCTAGTTCTGCCATCTTAGTCCACACAGGTGCCCTCTAGTCTGTGACAGTCTTTTAAACGACCTAAATTTTCCCTTTGACAGGTTAAACATCCTCAGCTTCTCTCAAACAATCCTAGTAAAGCCTGATTTCCAGCTCTCCCCCAATCCTGGTCATACTCCTCTAGATGGGACCCCACTGCACAGAAAGGCAATCCTGCCAGCCAGTAAATGTTCCCTATGAAAAAGCAGCGTAGAATGCAAGGGTCTCCACCCCGGTCTGCCTGGAGCTAAACGAAGGGAAGGGGGGTCTTTAGTTTCAAGCTGTAAATAAGTTCCAAAAGACTGACTTTGTAAATGATTATCTATAGTGAGTCCATAGCCACCCCGGGCGCTCCCGGAGCCCAGAGAAGATAGGGTACTGGCTAGACTGGAGAAGGTGACAATTTAAATTCTGAGACCAAAGATATGAAAAACAGAAGTCATAAAAAGCAAGAGTCGCTCCGGGAAGGAGTAAGCACTATGCTCAGCTTTCAACACACTAAGCAGATTTGTCTGTGGGGTTTATGTGGTAGTAAAAGCACAGTGCTGCCCTTCGGCAGAGAACTAGCCGCCAAACATAGACTCTTACTCACCCTCGGCTTCCTTTAATGCAGTAGCCCATCAGGGTTGCACTCTTGGGAGCCAGCAGCAATTAATTAGGGGAGATGTGGCTGCCTCCGGCCCCCCAGCCGTGCTTTTCCAGTTCTGTCCAGGGGGCATACTCGTCTGCTTGCGGAAGATCGGACCTACGGTGACTCAGCCTTCGTGCCTCTGTTCTTTAGGGGGCCTGTTTCTGTAGGTGGCATGGCTGCTTCCTCATTTCACAATCTCCACTTTGAACTTTCCAGCATTTTAATTAGTGAGTAGACAAAGTGTCTACTCTTTTGTTCTGCTTCTCGATCTTTACCCTGAGGGTCTTTAGTATTACACTTTGTTGAGGGAATTAAAAAGCAGCTGGCCCGACTTGTGGTTGGTGTTAAGAGTTATCCTGTACAGCACGTATCATGCCGTGGGGACATCTGTTTTCCACAGTCTTGCAAATGGCCCTCTGCCCATAGAAAAGCTTAATCTTAGTGCCACCTCTTCTAGGAAGTCTATCCTGATATTCTTCCTGTACCCTCTAGTCACTAATTCCCTTTCTTGGGAGTTATTTAGCATCTACTCTGCATATATTTTGCATTTAATTTTCTGTGTACATACTGTTTCCCTTCAATAGAATGTAAGCTCCTTGAGGAAAAGAGCTGTCTTGTTATGTCTTTAGATCTCAAGGACCTAGCTCAGTGCCTGACACATAGTGTGGCTTCATAAATTCTTATTGAATGAATGCATGCGTTCGCATACATGTCTCTATAAAGAGAAGGGAGTGCTTATGCAATGAGGGCTAGTTTAATAAAATATTATGAGCAAGCAAAAATGGTATATGCTCCCGTGATGCACGTGTTTATTACTTAATACAGATTTTCCTGTCTTGAGGTCTCCTCTGTAGAAGGATTGACAATGAAATTACTTCATACATGCGATCAGGATATGTGGCTGACTCGCTAGTCACTCATTTTGGTTATACTTTTACCCCACAAAAGGCATACCCAGCCAGACAGTGATGGCCAGGTGACAGCCAACTGTCAGGTTGAAGACAAACAGGAAATAGATGTATGCTAACATGAGGCAGGAAGAAAAGTCAGATGTCAGAGCCAGAAGGTAGAGTCAGGACTCTACCAAAGAGATGGAACTGCTATGCAAAAAAAGACAGCAAAAGTGAGATCTGAAAAGTATGGAGCTCATCAGATACATAGGAGTGAGAGAATAAAATTGAATCACACATTTAGAACTGGAAGGAATATTAGAGGGCATTGAGTCCAACCTCCTCATTTTACAAATGAGTAAACTGAGGCCCAGGTGAATTAGGTGATTTCCCCAGGGTCATCCAGTTAGTGTCAGATGGAGAATCTAAACCTAGATTTTCCTGACTTTGAGTGATGAGCCAGTGGATGCCAGGAAAACAAGACTAGAGTAGACGTAAGGAAACTCTCATTTCTATAGTGATTACAGAACATTTTCTTCACTATAACACTATGAGGTAAGAAAAGAAGTTACTGTTATTATCTCTTTATAGATAAGGAAACCTAGCCTTAGAGAGGTGAAGTGATACCCAGGTCTCATGGCCACCAAATGGCAGAGTCAGGTCTTTTGACTTGTAGATCTGTATGCCACATCAGGTTGCCCCTCAGAGCTGATAATCAATTGATTCAGTACATTTTCTAGCAGAATATTTGGAGTTTTTGTCCATCCTGGAGTAGTGTTCTGCCCCAGTTCTGAGTACCTGATATTAGGAAGAACATAAATAAGCTATATCACTTCCAGAGGAAGCACCAGGATGATGGGAAGACTGTAAACTCCTCCTTGATGATCCATAGTAGATGACCATCTGTCCTGAGCCCTCTGCACGATGGAAAGCAGGGATGGGCCTGAAGTGCCTCCAAGTTCCTTTCCAGCACAGGGACTTCAGAATCCTATGGATTTCCTTGCTTTTAGAATGTGTTCTATCGTTGTTTTTCTCTTAAATGCAATAGATTTGCCTTTCTAATTATGTGTGCCCAGGGCTGATATGAATTCACTTTGGCTGAGCCCCAAACTTGATTTACATGCCAAGCCAAGAGCTCATGGCAGCCAAGGACAAAGTACATTTAAGTACAAAGTCATTTGGAAAATATCAGCAGAAGATGTATAGAAATCACAAATAGTCTCATCTTTTAGAGAAAAAAGTTGACAAGTAGAGTAGGCATGTAGAAGAGCCAGCTGAAGGCTAAGTCTTTATTTTCACCTTCTCTCCTTCTCCCCATTCTTTTGTGAGGGGTGGAGGAGAGAGACAAGACACAACTGTGTGCTGGCAACAGTAAGAAAGACTTATGGTCCAAAGGCACAGGTTAAAAAAAAAAAAACCCTGACTGGAAGGATAAGGGATCCTGGGAAGACAAAAAGGCACATGCCACCCGAAGAAGAAAACTTCCTGAATATGGTAGTCAGAAGCAACGACTGACTCTAGGTGAATGCTGAGGGTTCCTGAAGTAAGTGAGGGGACCATGAAGCTGCTACAATCTTTGGGGCTATATGGGGCTAGAGAATTGTAAGGGCTGAGGCAGCTGGAGGATGGATACAGAAGTGGCAACGACAGCAGCTATAGACAGCAGAGGCAGAGCATCCAGTAGATGGGATGAAGGACACATACCTTCCATTCCTCTCCCTTTCTTATCCTGAACCCTTTGTGATCCAGCTCAATTTAAACCATCCTCCACTCCTGAATTCTTTACCCACTTGTCCTATTACTGATCTCACTTTGTCAAGCTCTAACCATGATTTACCCCACACCACCTACCTCCTTTGCCTTTATTCACATCCTCCTGAATGAAACTGAAGAGAATCACAAAAACATACTGATTGAGTCCACTACAAATTTACATTACTTGTTGCAACCAACCCCTGACAGCTGCAAGGCAAGTATTCTATTCTCTCATTGATTTCTCTTTAGTCCACCCCCACCCAGTGTCTGTTCCAAACATTTTTGTCTTTTCTTCAAGCCTACCACCACAACCCCTTCACCCACTCTTTTAGTCAAGGACTTTACCTCATACTGCACCAAAAAATTTGAGGTCTTTCTCTAATAGTTCGTCTTTTCTCATCTTCAATTCCCCAAACTCAGACATCTTTTCACACTATCTCCTCCTTCACCTTGCTCTCAGATGAAGATGAAGAAATGGGCCTTCTGCTTACCAAAGCCAATCCTTCCTAACTTCTCCAGCAGATTGTCCCCACAAGAATTCCTACTCTCTCTAATCTTCAATCTCTTGCTATCTAATGACACCTTCCCTACTACTTACAAATGTGCCCATATCTTCTCATCCTTAAAAAAGATCATATCATACCTAGTTTTGCTTGTGACCAAACCTACATGGATCCCTTGGAATGTGGAATCTTGCTCTTGAATATTCCCATATCTTCCTCATCCTTAAAAAACTCTCACTGGATCCAATCATCCCCACTTTGTTGTTGTTATTCAGTTGTATCTGACTCTTTGTGACCCCATTGGTTTTCTTGGCAAAGATACTAGAATGGTTGGCCATTTCCTTCTCCAGTTCATTTTACAGATGAGGAAACTGAGGCGAACAGGGTTGATTGACTTGCCCAGGGTCACCTAGCTAGTAAGAGTCTGAGGCCAGATTTCATCTCAGGAAGATGAGTCTTCCTAACTCCAGGCCTGGTGCTCTATCAACCGTGCTACCTAGCTGCTCTACTTACAGTCCTATGCCTCTGCAAAGAAGAAGGGGAAGTCATTTCTCTTATGTTCTTTGAGGCAAAGCTTGGTCATTATAATTTCACAGCATTCAGTTTCAATTGATTTGTTTGTTTTCATTCCAATTATGTTGTTGTAGTCAGTGCTCATATTGTCTTCTTGCTTTCACTTGCTTCACTTTGTGTCAGTTTATATAAGCCTTTGCATTTTCACGTCCTTCATGTTCATTTCTTATAGCACAGTAATATTCCATTACATTCATGCGTCATATTGTGGTACGTCATTCCTTAATTGATTGGCATTTGCTCAGTTTCCACTTTTTTGCTACTACAAAAAGTGCTTCTACAAATATGTTTGGTAAACATGGGACTCTTCTTTCTGTCAGTGACCTCCTTAGGCTATATATCTACCAGTGTGTCAGAGGGTATGGGCATTTTACTCACCTTCTTACAATTTCAAATTGCTTTCCAGAATGGTTGAACCAACTCATAGCCCCTTCAACAATACATTAGTGTACTTATCTTTCCACAACATTTACCATTCCCAGTATTTATCATCTTTGTCAGCATTTATTCTATAATAATTTTTCAGAAGCACTTGCCTTGGAATAAAATGCTACTCTGAAGGCTTTCTTCCATATATATGCTGAAGTCACAGAACACTCTCTAACAGATGGAACTAATAGATAGTTTTGTTCAATGAGTGCTAAGACCAAGCTATGTTTCAAACAGAGATAAGCCCTCCCCTAAACTGTGTGCCAATGTTACAGATGTCATGTGCACATTCTAAACAAAAGGTTTCTTTGCTATTGGGAAGGTCTTCAAATTCAGGGATAGATGACATTGCACCAAGACCTAGAATAATCATATTGATTCTGCAGTGAAATCTATGTTAATTTAAAAGAGACCAGTCGAGGCAGCTAGGTGGCGCAGTGGATAGAGCATCAGCCCTGGATTCAGGAGGACCTGAGTTCAAATATGTCCTCAGACATGTAACACTTACTAGCTGCATGACCCTGGGCAAGTCACTTAACCCCATTGCCTAACCAAAACAAACAAACAAACAAACAAACAAAAAAAGGATCAGTCTAATCAGACATACTTAAAAATCAAGCTGAAGAAAAGGTGTACCTTGCCTAAATTACAAAATTACTGTATATTGGATATTTTGTAAAAGATATAAAAATAGATGAACTCAGAGGTTCCTACCAACTTTGAAGCTATGGGATTTTTGCAAAGATTGATAGGAAGATATAGACAAGAATCACACAGGATGTAAAAGCATGGAGGAGTTAAGTGCCACGATTTAACTACCATGGTGAAGAGAATGCCTACACTGAGAAAGTCTCTGATCTGCCAAAGTTCTAGTAATAAAATAGGCTTATTAGGGATTAGCAGAGGGCAGCCCAGGTAAACAAATCCCTGTAAACACATTCCAGAGTCAGGAATTGGGAGCTAAACTTGAACCCTCTTACCTTGATTTCTCTGCTCCACAGGACATGCCTAGAGGCCCTGAAAGGTCTCTTTTGGACCACTGACAACTGGGAGATATTTGCCTATATGAAGCTACAACAGGGCTGGGACCTTTTCACGAATATGAATACATTCAAACAGGGTGTGACCCTCCTGACCAGGTACATGGGGAAAAGATACTGGGGACAGGGCAAGAGGGAAAATTTGGGCCATGCTCTCCTTGAGGTGTGAAACCCCTTGAGGTATTAGATCCCAAGATGCATGCCTGCAATATCTTTGGAGTTTGCACCCAATGTTTCTCCCCATTTCTATACTAATAGACATCCTTCACCTTACCTCCATGGTCTTCAGACTGCCTTTGGGTCTATCCTATGCAGGTTGGAGGTGTCTGAAAACTCCTCCCCACTGAGTGGTTGGGAACTGGATGTGCTCTTCCTTCTGAAGGACTGACATTTTAAATGAGATCCTGGGAGGGAAATGCTAAAACCCAAGGGTTTGAAACACAAGAAAGAGTGATCCCACTGACAAATGGCAGTGGATGAGAGAAACATGCACAGAGAGACAGAGAAACAGAGACACAGAGAGAGAGAGAGAGAGAGAGAGAGAGATACAGAGAGACAGAGGTGTATATATTTCTAGTATATATGTTTGTGTGTGTGTATGTATATCTAATATATATATACACACACACACACACACACACACACACACGCACACATACATAAATACATATGTACATATGGGTTTTTTAAATTTTCTCCCTACACTGATTTATTGGGTTTTCTTTTTTGGAAGAGGCTAACATGTAGTCTAAAGAAATGTTGCATTAATGGTAAAATTTCAGACCCTGTGACAGAATAATAAGAGAAGCATTTGGGAGAATGTGTCCATTAAATTGCATTCCATAGATGGCTGCTTCCTTAATCTGTTGATTAAGTCATATGCATCAGCACTTAGCACAGTTCCTGGCACATAATAGACAGTAAATGCTAGTTGGCTGACCTATTGAACTTTCCTTCTCAATTGTGACCCTTGGTTCTCTATACCCTATCCTCAACTGGACAAGTCCATCATTAGAGATTAAGAGTTTTTCCCTGTTTATTTCTCTCCCCCTAGAGCCATAACTCACTACAAGTGTGAGATCAAGAGCATTTTAAGTCATGCTATGCGTAGCATGAAGAGTCCATATGAGCGGGATCATTTGGTAGGCATCCTCGTTATCACTGAGGTAAGGCTGTCCAGGTAGAGTCTCACATCTACTCTGTTTGGGAGGAATGAACTCCAAATTTCACATTCACAACCTCAGGACACTGAGAATCCAGAGTATTTCTTTCTCTGGAAGGTTGTGAGGAAGAGCTCATGAGGCAAAGGCAGAGGAGTAGTTTTGTTCAGATGACTTTTGGTCTAGTGACGCATATGAAGAGGTCCCCTTGATGGTAGCTGCAGGTAAAATTGTTGTATACACCTTAGAGTACCCTATGTGGTAAGCAGTTATCTCCTTCATTCCCACCAGGGCAGGAAGAGTAGATGATGGAGTCACAGAATCTCAGAGTTGCCAGGGACCTTGGAGAACGCCTAGTCGTGTTTATATGATTAAGCAAGAGTTGCCTTCTCAACGTCCCCAGCAAATAGCAATCCAGTTTCCATTTGAAGACCTCTGCTGATGGAAAATACTGCTTATGACAGCCCATTTCACTTTTTGACAGCCATTACTTTAAAAAGGTTTTCCTCCTTGCATTGCACCTAAAATCTTCTTCACAACTCTCTCCAACTGTTCCTAGTTCTGTCCTTTTGAGATCCAGCAAAACATATCTATTTTGTCTTCCGCATGACAGCCCATCAGATATTTTAAAACAGCTATCATTTCCCTCTAAGTCTTCTTTTCTTCAACTGAAACATCCTCAGTTAGCCCAACCCTTGTGCAGTTATCCCTTCCACAGTGCAACTTTCCCCATCATGGTTTTGATATATTGTGGGTTGGCATAAGAAATTAAATGGGGATTTTTTGACAGTATTGCAGAAGCCGCAGATAACATGCAAAGGCCAGCAGATGACACAGAAGAGGTTTAGAAACTCAGAAATGCATAAAATATATTTATAGTATTATATAATCTCAACATATTCTACCTTTTAATATCATAATAATTCAGATTTCTTTGGTATGAAAGGAGGGCCAAAATTTTTTACATGTATTTTCCAGATTGTGGGGGTGCCACATCCCTAACCTCTGTGATGTGGAAGGGATAACTGTACAGCATTGTTTCCGGTCCCCTTTCTATAGTAGTTTCCCTCCTCTGGACAGACACTGGTTTGTCAATTTATTTCCTGAAATGTGGCATCCAGAATTGAACATTTTTCTCCTAATAGATTCTGGGCAGGTCAAAGAATGGCAGGACTATTCACTTGCTCATTCTGGATGCCCTATCTCTTTTAATGCATCCTCAGATTTCACTACAATTTGGGAGGTTGCCATGTTATGCTGTTGATTCACTGAACTTGTGGTCCACTGAGATCCCAATTATTTTCTAGAAAAGTTATCATCTAGTCATACCTCTCTCATCCTGCATTGTGTAGTTGTTGTTTATTTGTTTGCTTGCTTGCTTTTAACCCAAGACCCAGGCAAATATCAAAGAGCTCTTCTTAATGAAATATTAGGCTGACAGAACATGGAACTAGACCAGGGGTGGAGAACCTGCGGCCTTGAGGCCACATGTGGCCCTCTAGCCCCTCAAGTGTAGCCCTTTGACTGAACCCAAACTTCACAGAACAAATTCCCTTAATAGAAAGATTTGTTCTACAAAACTTGGACTCAGTTAAAATGCCATACCCAAAGACCTAGAAGGCCACAGATGGCCTCCAGGCCACAGGTTCCCCACCCCTGAACTAGACCAACTAAAGTAAGCATAAGATTAAAGGAGGAGAGGGAATCCTGTGAGATTCAAATGAAATGATGTAGATGGAAGCAATAATGAAAATCTGAATGTATACTTTGAAAAGTATAGAATAGTATCCAAAGCAGAGGGTTTCATTTTATCACAAATCCTTATCATTTATATTTAGAGCTTTATAATCTGTAAACTATTTTCATATCCATTTTTGTCATTTGATTCTCACATCCTTAGGGGGCAGATAGGGTAAAATTCATTATTCCTATTTTATATAGAGAGAAACTGATACTCTGGGGATCTAAGGGCCTTGACCAAGATTAGAGCTGTTTACCAGTACCCTGGGGATTCCAGTTCATGTTGCTAGTACTCTTCAGCCTGGAGAAAAGAGACTTTGAGAGGGTGACAAAGTACGTGAAATCTTTCTGCAAGTATATGGCAGGATTATATTTCCACATGGCTCTAAAATGCCGACCTAGGAAGAATGGTTAGAGAGGGAGATTTAGGCTTGGTCTACAGAAAAGCTTTCTAACCATCAGAGCTGTCCAAAAGAAGAATGAGCTCTCTTTGGAAGTAATGGGCTCCCTATAATTATAATTTACATTTCTGGAGCATTTTTCTATAGCACAACATGCTTTCCCCCAAAACAACCCTGGGAGAAAAATTGTCAGCAGTTAAGTGATTTGTTTTGGATCATATGTACCCAATCCAATCTAGGCATTTATTGTGTTCTTTATGTACAAAGCACTGGGGATATGAAGACAAACCAAGACAAATTTTAAAAATAAAAACAATCCCTTCTCTCAAGCAGATTATGAATTGGATGAGATGACTTCTTAGTTACCTTACCAGTCTGAGATTTGTGAATCTGTGATCTCTGATTCTTTTTTCTGCCTTTGAATAAGATTTAACCAAGGATGTAAGTAGGAAGAAAAGAGGAAGATGAGCCTCATTTTGGCCAAGTATGAGGTAGGGTAGTTAGAAGAAAATATCCTAGGCTTTATAAATGGGAAAACTGTATCTCAGAGAGGGGATGAGACTTGCTCATGATCATACAGGCAGTAAATAGCCAAGCTAGAACTCAAGGTCAGACCTTTCTCGACTTGGCAATAATGGGCCCAAAGAGGTGCCTGGGAAAGATCAGTTAAAAGATCCAGGAGGTGAGAGAAGCTCTTAGAAGTCAGACTGAGAAGATAAGACATTTTCAGGTTAAATAATTTGCATGGAAACAGATCAAATCCTCCAAGCTTAGGAATAAGACAGAAAGCTGTTGCTCAGACATGTTGTCCAATCCCTGAATATTGACTCTCAGGGATTCCTCCCTGATAGCTGAGAGGAAGTTCAGTCCTAGGCTTTCATTGTCCCAGCACTGAGTTTCCATGGGGATCTCATGCCCCAAGAGAGGCTAAATTTGAGCAGAAACACTGGCCACAGAATGGTGGGGAAAAGAAACTACCAGAGGATAGATCCCTGACAGGACTTTGAGGTCAGTGAACAAAATTCCATTGAGTTTGCTGCACCATGCCTGCTATGTGAAGAAGAAGATAGAGAAGCCTGTCCCAACCTTGGCCACACCTGTCCTTGGGGCCCATTCAAACCAAGAACCTGGGATGGAGAATGGGTATTTTTCATACTCCTGATTCCCACCCTGGGCAGGATAAGCAAGGCGTGAGGTTATTCTTGGTGCACATATATCCATTCCTATGTCCCTGACATGGTCTTTCAAGGCCAGAGTTCAGGGCCAGCTCTGCATGATGGGAAAAGCTCACTCTAAGAATTCTGTTCAGCTTCTCAACAGCAAAGAGGTCCCACGCTATAAGTCTCGGTGGTCTATCCGGAGCTTCCTACTTTCATCCTTGAGAAATTCCAATAAGGAGGTACAAACCATGAGTTTGCAGGGGTTGGGCAGCCTTCTGCTTCAACCTAAGAAGGTAAGAATGGAAATACTCACAGCTGTTGATGGAAAGTGTCCCCCAAAAGGATATCCCCACCAGTTCAGGATTTAAGGTTTAAGGCCACGATTGTTTCTCCCTGCCCTCCTCCCTTTCCCAACCACCTTGTTAAAAAAAAAAAAAGTCACTTCCTTATTCTTTCATGCTCTCCCTGGACATACACTACTTTCTTATTTAGCACTATCAAAAGTCTCTCTTTTATTTTTATCTTTTTTTTTAAGGCAATTGGGGTTAAGTGACTTGCCCAGGGTCACACAGCTAGTTAAATGTCAAGTGTTTGGTCTGAGGTCAGATTTGGACTCAGGTCCTCCTGACTTCAAGGCCAGTGCTCTATCCACTGCACCACCTAGCTGCCCCTTCTCTTTTATTTTACCCTATTTTTTTCCTCCCCCCACCCCCAACATCCCCCTAACATAGAATCACAGGTCTCAGAGTTAGAAGGTACCTCAGAGGTCATCTAGTTCAACACATGCCTGAGCAAGAATACCTACAAACTTAAATATTGAAATTCTAAATGGATTTTTAAAAATCTCACCAATTCAGATGTTCCCTCCAGTAATCCGGATTGCAACCTATTTCTTCTTACCCAATCTTATGTCACTCTTGTCCAGATCTCCCAAGAAGTTTGGCACAGGTGGTTCACCCTATATGCTAGAGGCCTCCCTTGCTTTCTCTTGACATAACACTGATAGCAGTAGAACATGAGTTGCTTATTGGATTTCTCCTGTTCTTGCCGCATGCTTATCTCATTTTTTTTTCACTTACTTGCTTAGATGACCTCCCTTACTCGAGTTTTTTTTCTTTGTATGTTTGTTATGTGTTATAGAGTGATCATACCTACACATGCCATTTCATTGTCCTGTGAGTGATATTCATTTTTAAATCTTCAGAAACTGTAATAGTCATTGGCTGAAAGCCATATAACAATGATGACAGAATATTACTATTAAAAAGATGGACCTTAATTTAAGGGGAATTAAAGGAGCTTTGCAACTTCTTGAGAGTAATTTAGCTCACTCTTGCTTTTAATACCAAAACTCATTATCCACTATCAGTATCTATCCAAGAAATAATTACGTATAGAGCTGGGCTCTATACATTGTTCTCATAACTACTTGTCATAATCTGGACAATAGAGACTATTCATTCACTTGGTTTTCTTATGTGGATATTTAAGCCAAAATCCTTTGAGTGCTTATGGATCTTCTCCAGAAGTCTGTGTAGTATTCTAGGGTTTCATGAAACTAAAATCTGCAAAGAAGAGCATCTGGAGGACTTCACCATCTACAGAGAATTACTCTTCAACTTAAAAGAGATCTCTTCCATTATAGTGGCAAACACCTTTGGTTGGCAAAAGTCATTATCATATCCGTTGTCTGGTAATAATCACCAGAGGATCATTGAATAAGGCTATCTGTTGTTATATTTTTGTTATATATTTCATGAACTCTTGAATAATTTTGATATATGCATGAAAGGTGCCTTTTAGGTAGTGTTTTGCTCTACTGAGTCAATAGTCAATAAATAGCAAGCCAAGTGAGCTCTTGAATTCACCAAAAGATCTTCTCCAGTCTAAGCATTCCCAGCTCCTTCAACTGATCTTTATGTAATTTGATTTCGAGACCCATCCAAGCCATTTTTTGGATAAACTCTATTTTGTCAATATTCCTCTTACAGTGTGTTATACGTGCAACAATTATATCATCTCCATTTCTTCTCTCCTCCAGCTTATATATCCACAGTTCTTTTAATTCATCTTCATAAGACAAGGTTCCAGACCCTCTTTCTGTCCAGCGAAAGGAGGAACTTGAGGGCACACAGGCAAACTTTCATCCCTTTACTATTTTGCTAAAGGCCTGACAGATCAGGGAAAAAATTCTGAGGGGAGCTGGTATTTTAGGTGGGAGGGGTCCAGAAGACAGTTTTAGCTTTGTAGAATATACAGAGCCTTCTGGTAAATCTTTAGCCAGAATACATTAAGGTCTTTCTCCTTTTCATCATCATTCCCTGCAGGGAGATCTGCTCCGGAACCAACTGTCAGACATGATGGAAAAATTGTTGCTTAAGGAAGAGGAGAACATTTTGGTACTTATGAGCATCATTGGTGAAATCCTGCATCGTCTGACTTTACAAGGTGCTGGCTCCAACAGCCTCAAGGTGGCAGAGAAGCTGTTTGACCTCTTTGATGACGTAGGTGTCAGGGCTAGGCAAAGGTGGGGGGGAGTTGCCCGGGGTCAGGGGCTAATGGGAAGAATTCAGCTCTTAACCTGAAGTGTCACTAAATCACATTAGCTTCCTGGAATAACAGGCCTTTCATTTATGGCTTGTCTAGAATACTTCACCTTGGCCCCAGGGTGTTACTTTGAAGTACTTTTTTTCTTCAAGACAAAACAGAACATTTTATTGATGCCCTTTGTCTTTACATCACAGTCATACCTGGAGGGAAAAAAAGCCACAACAAAATCTCTCTTTGCCATGAATTTTCCCTTGTGGGAAAAAAAAAACCAAAGAAAAAAACAAAAACAGGTACATTTGATAAAGTGACATTGTATAAAGCCTTGTCATCTCCTTTGGCTTTCTTCCATGAGGAAGAAAATATGCTTCTAGTATCTATTTCCTGAGGACTTCTTTGGTTTTCCTATTATTAATATTATCACTGATAGCTAATAATAGTATTTTTATTCATAAGTTGGTTTACAATTTTATTTATATATTATATATTTGTATAGTATATATACATATTTATCAACATTTATTATAATTATTTATAATTTATAAAGTTTATACAGTGTTTTACAGTGTATAAAGGACTTAACATATATTATTACTCAACATTCCTTTTAGCCGTCATTTAACTTATGTAGTGGTAATCATTATGCACATTATCCTTTGGTTTCTGCTTACTTTGCTATATATCAGTTCATATTAAATTTGCTATGTTTCTCTAAATTTTTCCTATTTTTCATTTATTACTGAATAACAATATTCTAGTCCATTCATAAACCATAGCTTTTTAGGTGTTCTCTAATCAATGAACACCTACTTTCTTTCTAGTTCTTTCCTATCACAAAGAAGTATGAATATGTTGGTGTAAGTTAGACTTCTTTCAATATTTGACTTTCTTAGGGTATATGCTTAGTAAAAACATTGCTGACTCAGAGAGTAGAAATAAGTTTTCTTGCATAATTCCAAAATGATATCCAATATGTTTGGACCAATTTACAGCCCAACCAAGATTGTATTTGTATGTATCAGTAGTTATTTCAACATTGACCTGCAATTTGGGGAGGAGATATATATGTTGTGTGTGTATTGTGTGTATACATATAATATGTGTGTATATATATATGATAAATGTTACATGCCTATATATAATATGCATGTGTGTATACACATATGGAGTGTGCATGTATGTGTGACCAAAAGCCATTCTCCATTGATAAATGGTCAAATATATATGTAAATAAGGATATAATATATATATGTATATATATGCATATATGTATATATGTACATATATGTATATATGCATATATATGTATATGTATATATATGTATATATGTATATATATGTATATATGTATATGTACTACACATATACCTATATAGTTTATGAGTTGTGGATATAATTTTTTGGCTTATGTTTGCTGAAATTATTCCCCCACTTCACAGTTTCTCTTCTTTGTCTACCTGCATTTATTTTATTTATGCAAAAGCTTTTTAACTTAATATTTTGTTATCTCCTCTTTCCTGGTTTTAAAAACAGTCATCAAGCATTTATTAAGTGCTTGCTGTGTTCCAGTCACTGCACTAAGCATTGGGGATACAATGAAAGTAAAATTAGTCCTTGTCCACTAGAAACTGACATTCTAATAAGGCAGGAAACACATGAACAGCGAGGTACATGCAAAATATTTATAACGGAGGTAGAAGATAACTTCAGAGTAGATGGTATTAGTAGTTGAGGGGGCTAGGAAAAGCCTTGTAAAGAAGGTAGAATCTGAGCTAAGTCTTTAAGGAAGCCAGAGAAACTAACTGGAAGATGCGAAGAGGAGCATCCCAAATACGGAGGGCAGCCAATGCAAAGCAAGGACACAGACAGGGGAGATGAAGTTCATGTGCAAATCAGAGCAAGTAAGATTGTAGCGTGCTCAGTGGAGAGTCAAGTATAAGAAGCCTGGAAAGGTGAGAAGAGACTAATTATGAAAAACTTTAAATTCTACAATTAATCATGGAGATAATAGGGGACCATTGGACTGAGTGCGGGGTTGACGTAGGTGCAGGAGGGAGAGGCATAACCCTTAGGAAATTCACTGTAGCCGCCTAGTGGAGGCTGGATTGGAGGAGTGAGCCTGGTCAGAGGGCTATCACAATAATCCAGTGGTGAGGGCCTGAACGAGGGCTGTGGATGTGTGCTAGGTCACAAGGGAACTTATACAAAAGACCTCGTAAAGTGGGAAATGGCAAAATTTGGCAGTAGATTGAATGACTGTGGTGTGAGACCAGGAGCCTGAGTGACTAGGAGAATGGCGATGCCCTCACCAGAAACAGGGATGTTGCTTCTCAGTTGCTGGTCCACTCCCCAAATGACTTTTTATTTATTTTGTATATATTTTGTACTCACTTTTAGGCATTCATGTTGTTTCCCCCATCAAAATTCAAGCCCCTTGAGGGCAATGAGGGTTTTTTGTCTGTTGTTGTTGTTTTGTGTTTATATTCCCACAGCCTAGCACAGTATCTGGTACATGGCAGGAGCTGAATGCATAATTATTGAATGAAAGAATGTTGCCCATGTGCCAACCAGTAGTAGCCTCTCACGGACTTGGATTCATGTTTATGAGGGCTGGTTTTTTGGTAAGCAGACCATGCATGGCTCAAGTCGCTGTGCCAGTGTAATACTGGAGACTTCTAAATTCAACCTGCTGTGATTACCCACAAGGTACTGTGATTACCGTATCAACTGACATGAGTAGACCGCAGCACAGAACCAGTAACGTAATTGAAACAGAAAAGGAAACCAAACATTAAAGTACTCAACCATTCCTCAAATAAGTGGATACCACTCTCCAATTCCCCAATATTTTGCCCTTTATGTATTTTCTTCTCTATATCTGGTGAAAACAACCCCTCCTGGCAGTTTTCTAACTTTCCTTTGGACCTCGATCACCAACTGTCCTGTCTGGGTCATCCTGTTCTCATTGGCTTACGAATTGAGAAACTGCTGTTCATCCTTAGGATTCTACTTTTTTTTCCTTCTCTATTCTTCTCACCATGAAAATGTCCCAAAAGAATGTGAATCTACCCCCTGCCCTCAGACTTGACACCTAGAGTCTCATGGGCTTTTGATGGGATGAGAGAAATTGTAAAACATACTAGGAAGTGTGTAATATCTCCTTTTTTTAAAAAAAAAACTCCTATTACATAGATTAATGATCATTTGAGCTCTGATTATAATGGTGGAAGGCTTTGTGGGAAAAAGAGCCTGAGCTGAAGAAAAAGAAGGATATTTTGAAGGCATTTGGAATCACCAAGTCCAGCAATTAAATTTAAGGAGGGGAATTTGGGGATGATTTAAGGATAATCTGAAGAAGTAGGATTCCATCCAAAGGAGGAGAAAGGTTTAAGTTGGAGGAGAAAGAGAAGGATTTATAGAAGATCCCAAGAAGCAGAACAAGAAGGATACAAAATAAAAGAGGAGAAAAGGAAAGAAGGAAAGATGGGTATGACTGTCAAGGTGCTGAGGTGAGAAAGCAGAGTTCAAGATAAGCGCAAGCAATGTGCCTCAGCAGTTCTTCAGAATAGCAGCTAGCAAGAACAACAAAGAATTGCAAATCTCGCTTCCAGGTCTCACTCAGAGCTGGGTGAATGTTGTACTGATCTACCTAGAATGCGCAATGGTTGTATTTCTGTGGCTGTTATGTATGCAGAAAGAATGGGTTACTCTCCTTCCTGGAAGAGAAGTTAACACTAAAGGGACTTCAAGGACACAAAACAAAGGAACAAAAACTTCGTTCCTTTGAGATATTCTTAAATTCCAGTCTTTCTATTAAAGGAACTTGTAGAACAGTTATCAATGAGAATGAAGTATCCCTTAAAAGGAAGAGCCAGGGGGCAACTAGGTGATGCAGTGGATAGAGCACCAGCCCTGGATTCAGGAGGACCTGAATTCAAATCTGGCTTCAGACACATAACACTTACTAGCTGTGTGACCCTGGGTAAGTCACTTAACCCCATTGCCTAGCCCAAAACAAACAAAACAAAGCAAAAAACCATACAATAAAAGGAAAAGCCAGAAAAAGAGCTTCAGTTTTGAATAAAAAACAAAAGGGATAAAATTAATCTGAAGAGGCAAAAGGAAATGATGACTGCCATCAAGAAGTGGGAAAGTGAAGGAATGTGACAGAAAAGAAAGAAGAAGAACGACCATGAAATACTTGGAGATGAGTAATCGATATGAGGATAGTCTCAAGGAGGATGGAGCTGTACCCTCTGCAGAAGAAGCAGCCTTTGTCCTCCAAGGAATGGTGTTGTAAATCCTCAGGGATAGTTGGAAAAGAGTTCACACACTAAGGGTGAGAGAAAGAAGAAGGAATAGTGGAGGTTGGTGACTCTTGTCTGAGGGGGTTTTGAGCCAACTATTCTCCAAAGCGATAATAATATTAAAGGGGTTAGCTAGTTTCCCATGCATCCCAGACATGAAGGAGAATCTCTGAAGACTTACTAAGATGTGTGAATACTGCACACTTCTGGTGATTAATTTGAGTACAAATGATATTACCCAGAGGAACCTAGAAGACATTGCTAAATATTACAAAATCGTGTACAAGAAAGCGATGGATTTCAGGGCACAGACGGTGTTTTCTTCAAAATGGAAAGACCTATTTGAGAAGTGAATAGTTTGATAAAGCCTATAATAAGGAGACATACACCTCAAATTTTGAGAAAGTAAATTCAGAGAAAGGATAGGAAGGACCTCGTGACTAAAATTTTACAAGGGAAGTTAGCCTAAGAGAATGGGAAGCTCTCAGTAATGAAATACTGAAGACTGAAAGTGAAACAATTCCCACTAGGAGAAAAGGAATTGTCTAAAGGAAGCTATGCTGAGGCATAGAAATTCACTCACCAATTTAGATTTTTAAAAGTCATGCAAAAAAGTAAGCATAGGTGACTTGAACAGTAATATAACTAGGTGTGGCAAGGCTCTACAAGAATACTGTCAGACACACTAAAACTCAGAAGGAGCTGAGTCTGTTAAGGAAACAAAAACAACAAAAAAAGGGGGGAAATTTTTAGTTATATTAAGGGTCAAGAGAAAGAAAGATGGGGTAAGATTGCTATTCGAAGGGGATGGAATGATGATAACTGATAACAGAGGAAAGGTAATTTATTTTGCTTCTATTTCCTCTGTCAAGAGCTTTGTACTGGGAAGGAAAAAAAAAGAACAAAAGAAAAAAAGGTCAGTAGGGAGTTGATATCTAAGATAAGTAAGGATATAGTAAGAAATCTCCTGCTGACCTTGTTCAGTTCAAGTCAGATGGCCCAGGTGACCTAGTGAAAGAACTGGCAAATGGGATTACTCAACCAGGGTCAGTAATTTCTATTAGCAAAGACAACATACATACATACATAATATATAATCTAATATATATACACACACCCTTAAGTATTTACAGATTATATATGAAATTAAAAAAACCAAGGTAAATCAGGGGGAGCAGTAGCAGCTAAGGGGAAATCAGGAAAGATTTCATGTAGATCAGGGATTCTTCACTTTTTTTTTAATGTCATAAATAACACCCTCTGGCAGTCTGGTAAAATCTGTGGACAACTTCTCAGAATAATGTTTTTAAATGCATGAAGTAAAATACGTAGAATTACAAAGGAAACTAATTATATTGAAATATAGTTATTAAAATTTTTTTAAAAAATTAAAAAGTTCATGGATCTCGGGTTAAGAACCCCTGATGTAGAGGTTGTTGTTTCAGGAGAGTTTTGAAGAAAACAAAGGCTTCTAAGAAGTGGAGGTGACCTTGGAGTGCATCCCAGGCATAGAGGCACAGTAGGTGCAAAGACACAGAGTTGTGAGATGGGGTGTCATGTGTGAGGAGCTGCAGAAGGCCAATCTGACTGGAGTATAGAATGGGGGGAGGGGAGTCATATATCAGTAATAGGCTTAGAAAGGTAGGTTAGAGCCCAACTTGTGAAGGGTCATAAATTCTAAAGAGGGGTTTATATTTGATGCTAGAGGCAACTGAAAACCATTGGAGTTTATTGAGTAAGGGAGTAAAACATGGTTAAGCTTGTGTTTCAGGAAGCCCACTTGGGCAACTATGTAGAGGATGGATTGGAAAAAGTAGGAACTTGAGGCAGTGAGATCAATTAGGACGCTACGCTCATGGAAGGTAGCTAGGTGGTGCAATGGGTAAAGTGCTGGGCTTGGAGTCAGAGACCAAGATTCAAATCTAGCCTCAGTCACTTGCTATGTTTGTGACCCTATGCAAGTCACTTAACCTTGTTTGCCTCAGTTTCCTCATCTGTAAAAGGAGCTGGAGAAGGAAATGGTAAACCACTCTAGTATCTCTGCCAAGAAAACCCCAAATACAGTCACAAAGAGTCAGACACGACTGAAATGACTGAACAATGACAAATCTTTATTGAATGAATTATAAAATGAATGCCTAGTCCAGATGTGTTATGATCATGACAGAGCAAGCCCAATGGGCCTATTAACTCCTTATTCTTGGAAGCTATGCTTTTTCTAACTCAAGAATCTTATAATTTATGACAAAGGAAAGTCATACAGAAATAAACATGCTTAAAAGGAGAGTAAGAAATATGCAAAGAAATCCAAGGAAAGGGTTATGAGATATTTTCAGAGGGAGAGATTGTTAAATGGAGCTGAAATCTACTTTTCACCATTTCCATTTAGCTGCCCCTAAACAATAGGTTTTCTAAACATGCCCTCCCCATATTGTATTCCTGAAGATTGTCTCTTAAAGGATTGTAAGAATATATATTCCTATTAAATTTCATCTTATTAGATCCAACCCAGTGTTCTAGCTTGTAAAGATTTAGGGAGAGGGAGGGGTCCTTTCTATATTTTCTAGTGTGTTAACACTTCCTCACTGCCAATTAAAACTTTGATAAGGATGTCGTCTATTAATTTGTCCAAGTCATTGATAAAGTGATTAAACAGCATATAGTTATGCAAAGATCCCTGGAACACTGTACTGGTGGCTTCTTTCCAAGAAGATGTCAAATAGTTATTGACTGTTCTTTGAGTCCAATCTTTCAAATAGGTCCAAATCCATCTAATTGTGTCATTATCTAGTTTACAAGCACACCCAAGACTTTATTAGTAAGTGGATCCCCCATCCCCAACTAATTTTGGTCTCAAAGTTAATGGCCAATGTGTGTTCTTTTATCCCATAGCATTTTCCATCCAATAGCACCATCTGCTATTCCCGTAATGACCACCATTCAAATCCCAATAGCAAAATGGATCCTCGTGGTCCATTCCTTTCTTATCTTCTCCTGGAGTCACAGCCACACTCTGAATGCAAAGCTCATATGCTAACTCAAACCTCAAACAAATCAGTGAGGATGAGACCATCTGCATTGTCCTTTATAAAAACAAACTATTGTGTTAGGAGCTGAAATAGAAGATTCTTTAAACAAAGGTTACACATCTATAAAGCTCCTACTGTGTATAGGGCCCCTATACAAGGTTAGATAGGATCTCATAAACCCTGCTCTCAAGAATCTTACAATCTATGACAAAGGAAAGTCATATAGAAATAAATGTGCTTAAAAGGAGAGTAAGAAATATGCAAAGAAATCCAAGGAAAGGGTTATGAGATATTTTTAGAGGGAGAGATTGTTAAATGGAGCTGAAATCTACCTTTCACCATTTCCATTGAGCTAGAAAAAATTACCATAACTTCCATAATTACAACTTTGAATAGCACAAATTTGAATATATGTGACCACTTCACAGGATTTATTATTCTCACTAATCAGAACATAGCTGTATACCCAGTTGTCTTAGTATTTTTCTGTGAAGTTAAGTGAAACAAATTAATCTTTTCTACATTTCTAATAGTTTGAAGACAGCTATTATAATCCCAAGTTGTCTTCTTTCTGTAGCCTAAACATGTCCAGTTTCTTCAATTCAATGCACTATGGCTTGGTTTCCAGTCCCCTCCACCTATTGGTCTCCCTCCTCTGGATACCCTTCACCTTATCAATGTCCTTCCCAAAATTTGGTGTCCAGAACTGTCCATAATACTTTAGCTATGTTCTGAATAGGGTAAACAGTCAGACTATTACTTCCATTTCTGTCTAAGATCGCATTCCTATTTTTCAGCTGCCATGTCCCGCTATTAACTCTTATAACTTGAAGTCATATCTTTCCCCCATGGATCATTGCCTAACCACTATTTTAAATCAGTTTTTGTTTTCCCAACACCCAGAAAGAAAAAATCCTACCTGTCAATGCTAAATTAAGCCCAAAGTCCATAGGTGGCACCATTGTATTTGCCCTTTCAAACCTAACATCCAATTTTAGTAGATCTGTCCTCCTCAGGAGAGAGACGAGGTTCGAGGAGAAGCCATCTTCCTCTATGGAGACGTGATCTATAGTGGTGGGAAGAAGTATGAGCAACAATTGAAGATACATGCTTTTCAGTGCCTGGTTCCTCTCCTCTTCCATCTGGCTGACCCATGCCCAGAGGTTGTTGTGGTAAGAATGGATCATTCACCTGGGACTTCCTAGGAACCTCTTGTGAGCCAACTTGTGAGCTCAGCTACTCTGTGGGAAAGATAGAAAGAGGAGGAAACAAAGTCTCTGTCCCTGAGGTAATTCAAAGCTTACATGGGAAGAGAAGATCCACTCACAGACAGCTGAGAAAGGTACATCATATATTTTGTTGTTGTTCAGTCATTTCAGCGTGTCTGACACCTCATGACCCCATCTGGGGTTTTCTTGGCAAAGATACTGAAATGGTTTGCCATTTCCTTCTCCAGCTCGTTTTGCAACATCATATATGTCAAAATTCAGATGTTTGTCATCTACTGAAGGAGTCCACACATGAGAGCCATTATGGTGGGTCAGAATAGCCAAGGAAGAGTTCCTAAGGAATGTTGCCTAGGCTTTTGGCTGAGCAATAGCGGGTAGAAGGCCATTCTAAATAAAGAGAGTGACGGGAGATTATGAAAGAGGGAAGGGTTGTGGAAACCAGAGCTACAGAGCTGGGGCTGGGGACAGAGGCTCTTTGACCGAGGAAGTCCACTTCCTCCCCTTCCTGCTCCCCCAGTCACCCATTAGAATCCCCTCCAGTGCCTGAAAGGAGACCTAGTATACCAGGCTCCCAACAATCACTTGGTGTCTTGCAGCAGCACTTCCTGTTATATAAACCTTTTCATTGTTGGTTTTTCAGTTGTGCTCAGGAAGGAGATAGGGAGCATGGGAAGTGACGAGATTGGGAAGTTGGTGGTAGGGATGAGGAAGACTATGATGAGGTCTGAAAACCAAGACTCTGACATGATATTTCTCTGCTTTCTCCTGGTAGAAGACTAAGTCCACATTCATGCGTCTTGCCATATTACTCAACTGGGGCTTTCGAAAAGAACTGTTCAACGCATTGGCCTGGCGTGAGGGTCTGGGAGCTGAGAAAGACATTTTTCTCTACATGGTGAGAGGAGTAAACTTTCCTTCTGGAATTTCAGCATCTGTGTGGTCCGGGGTAGAGGTAGTTAGGAGCAGCGGACCAGGGCCATAGATTTAGAGAGATGATTTTCACATCGGACATTCTTCTGCAATCGTTTTATTCCTAACAGTCTTTTATGGGGAGGAAACAGTACAGGACAGAGTTTAATAGGTCCATCTTGTCCCTCTTTAGACATTATCTCTCTCTTAAAGCAGCCTTTGTCTGCTGTTGGCTTATTTTGAGCTTACAGTCCCCTGAGCCCTCCAGATCTTTGTCTAATATAGTTGTCCTGGCAAACTTTCTTCATCCTGTTCTTATGCGCATAAGTTTTGAAGTCAACTGTAGCACTTTGCATTCTTCTCCATTAAATTTCATTTTATTTGACTTAGTCTATCATTCTTTTTTGTAAATTTCTTTATTCGTTTTAAATTTAAATACAAAATGAGAAAAGGAAAAACAGAACATTTCCATGTACACAGCAGAATATGAGAGGATTCAGTATAAAACAATAAATGTCCATGTCAAGAAAACCTATATGATAAATACTATAAATTGTTTTCAAAGCTACTCAGCTTTTCTTTGATTATTTCTAGGTTTTCTTTTGTTCCATGCTATGTACTTTTTACCTTATTTTTCCCTCCCTCTCCCTACCCCCTGCCCTAAAGAAGGCTACAATTAAATGCAGATAGATATAGATACAGATATATCTATAGAAATATCTATAAGCATTCACATACATACACATATATACTCATACACATGTGTGCAAGCTGATACTATACATATTTCCACTTGTCATCTCTTTCTCTGGAGGTGGATAGCATCTTCCTTCATTGGTCCAAGTCTTTCCAAGGCTTTTTAAATCAACCAGCTCATCATTTCCTTCACCACAGCAGTATTCCAACACAATCACAACCTGTCTGAGAGATTGTCTGTGAAAGTTTCCCAAGTTTCTGCATTCCTTCTATTCTTGGCTACTTTGGTTTTATTTATACAAGAAAATTTTAATTTAAAGTAATTAAAATATCCATTTTACACTTCAACAATGCTCCCACCTTATAATATAGTTTAAAGGCCATTTGCTGAATCTCTTTCCTTTACATCTTTTTCCCTGGTTTCTTTGAATTGCTGACCTTTTGTTCTTGAAATGAGCTTTGCTATTATTTTTTTTCCAAATCAGTAAGATGGTTTTTTTAGTAATTTAATTGGGATGCCATTGAATAAATAGATTATTTAGGTAAAATTGTCATTTTTTGTTATATTAGCTTTACCTACCCATGAACAATAAATATTACTCCAATTATTTAAATCTAACTTTATTTGTATAAAAAGTGTTTTATGTTTGTGTTCATGTACTTCATGTGTCTGTTTTAGCAGGTATACTCAGGTATTTTATATTGTCTAGTTATTTTAAATGGTCTAAAACAATATTGAATAATATTGGTGACACATAGCATAATTTCCCTACCTTTCTCTTTTAATTAAATCTATTTGAGCTTTAACTTTGTCTGAGAGCATGATTATTATCCTTGCTTTTATTATGTAATAAATTCTGCTCCAGCCCTTTATTTTATCTTTGTGTGTATCTCTCATTTTTATTGTGTTTCCTGAAAACAAAATATCGTTGAATTCAAATTCTTAATCTGCTATCCATTTCCATTTTATGGGTAAATCCATCCCATTCATATTCTAAGTTATAATTACTTCTTGTCTATTTCCCTCCTTTCTATTTTTCCTCACTATCCTTCTCACCCTATTTACCCTATCCCTTCTTACTCCTCTAATTTATTTCTACCTGCTACTTTGCCCTCCTATTCCTTAACCTATCCAACCTTCTGAGTCTCCCTCCCTTATCCTCTTTTCCATCCCATCCCCTAGGCTTCTTATTTCTTTCTGAATTTAGAAGACTTTTATGCCCTTCTACATATATATGTTCTCTCTTTCACCCATTCCTGATGAAAGTAAGGTTCCAGTACTACCTGCTCTCCCCACTCCCCACTTGCTTCTTCTATGTCAGTTCTTCCCTTCAGGCCTCATTTGTATGAGATAATTACTCCCTTTTATCTCTCCCTATACAGTTTTATTTTTTTAGGATCACCCCATCATACACAGCTCAGCCCAAGCCTTTCTTTCAAACTACCCAAATAACGACAGTCATAAGAGCACTGATGACATTTTCACATATAAGAAGTAAACAATTTGACCTTGTTGAGATTCTTTTAATTGATCTTTAATGTTTACCTAATGTTTTTCCTGGATCTCATATGCCAAATTTTCCATTAAGTTGTTTTTGACATAAATACCTGAAAGTCTTTCAGTTTATTAAAGTCCATGTTTTCTTTCCATTCAGGATTATATTTAACTTTGCTGGGTAAGTTACCCTTGGTTGTAACCCCAACTCTTTTGCCCTATGAAATATAGTATTTCAAGACCTCTGGTCCTTCAATGTAGTAGCTGGTAAGTCTTGTGTAATCCTTATTGTAGCTCCATGATATTTAAATTGTTTTTTTTCCTTGTTGCTTGCAATATTTTCTCTTTAACCTGGGACTTGGCTCTGATATTCCTGTAAGTTTTCCCTCTGAGATCTCTTTTAGGTGATGATTGGTAGATTTTTTCTATTTCTGCTTTGCCTTCTTGTTCTAGAACTTCAGGGCAATTTTCCTTAATAATTTCTTGAAATATCATATCAAGATTTTTTTTATTGTACCTTTCAAACTATTCTTATATTGCCTGTCCTCAATCTGTTCTCCAGATTAATTGTTTTTCTGATGAGATGTTTCACATTCTCTTCAATTTTTTCATTCTTTTCACTTTGTTTTATTACTTCTTGGTGTCTTAGAATGTCATTAGTTTCCCCTTGCCCAATTCTAGTTTTCAGGGAATTTTTTTTCTTAAGTTTTTTTATTCTATATTTCCAATTGGTTGACTTTCTTTTCATAATTTTCTTGAATTGCTCTTATTTTTTTCCTAATTTTTCCTTGATCTCTCTTATTTAATTTTTAAAGTCCTTTTTAAGTTCTCCCAAAAGCTCTTTTTGGGCTTGGGACCATTTGATGTTTCTCGTTGAACAGGAAGTGGGTTTTTTAGCTCCACTATCTTCCTCTGACTATGAATCTAGATCTTCACTATCCCCAAGGTAGCATCTATGGTTGGATTCTTTCTCCTTTGTTTACTCCTTTTCTGTTTTATTTTATTTGTAGCAGTTATTAATATGATCAAGTTCTAGTCCCAAGGTGTGGGGAGTGATGCCTCAAGGCTCAGGTTCTTCTTGCTGCTATTTCTTGGGCTCTATCCTGGGGCCCAGCCTTGGGTCCTCCCCTTAACCCCAGGCCACAGTGAGGGCTCCCAACCGAATCGTCCTGCAAACGTTCTTGCTCACTGTGGTTCCCTCTGGTGGCTGCAAACTACAGCTGTCCTCTCTGCCCTGGAGCTGACACCAGGGACTCTGCTCTCCTGCAAGTGACCACAGCCAGCAGCCTCCCCATCCTTCTGCTACTGCATTCACCAAGCATGTGCTAGCTCCTTCTCCCCACAGCTTGGCATCCCTCAACAGTGGAAGGGCCTTCAGTCTTCTACTCAGCCATCAGACCCCCACACTGTCTGCAAGATGAAAGTGTCCAAGGCTGCCTCCCAACCACAGTTGCCCCAGGCCTTGTCATTTGTTGATTCTGCAGAGTCAGCCTGGACGTGTTTGCACCCCACTCAGGCCAAACCTCTGCCCCTGGAGACTCAGTCTTTCCTGGGCTCTTCTCAAGTTGTCTTAGGAGGGCAACTGCTTTACCCCGACTCCTATTTATTTCTGTTGCTTTACATTCACTCTGAGGCGATGTTCTGTCTTTTGTTTGTGGAGGAAATTTGGAGAGCTAGAAGTTTTCTGACCTCCTCTGCCATCTTCCTAGAATCTTCTCTGATTTAGCCTGTCATTCTGATCTGATCAGAACTTGTTGGATTCTCTGGCATCTGATGTGTTAGTTCTCCCTCTTTATTTTATTTCATGTCCTCCGTAAATCTGATAAGTATCCATTTATGCATTTATTCAAGTCATTAATAAAAATCACTAAATTCTAGTAATAAAAATTGCTAGTCTCAGCTCTATCACCGACCGCCTACACAACCTTGAGGAAGCTACTTTGTATAGGTGGCAGTATCATCCATGACCTCCTGACCTCCCAGGACTGTCATGAGTCAGGTGACATAACGAATATGAAAAGTCCTCAGGAAACCATAAAGTTCTGTATATGTATGAGGGATTGCTGTTGTAGCAGAACACTTAATATGGTCCAGCCCAGACCTAGGTACTGTGAGAGATACCCTATACTTCCATGCTAGTGGAGGCACAGATATAAATAGGATAAAGTCATCGACTTCAATAAGCTTACAAGGATAATATGTAGGGAAATATGACACATATAAATGAGAATGATCAAAATTAAAATGTGGTAAGTCCATAAAGGAGTGAGGTATTGCAGGATACAGCACTTGGGAGTCAGGAAGGATCATCTTCATGAGTTCAAATCCGGCCTTAGACATTTGCTAGCTGTGTTACCCTAGGCAAGTCACTTAACCCTGTTTGCCTCAAGTTTCCTTATCTGGAAAATGAGCTAGAGAAGGAAATGGCAAACCACTCCAATATCTTTGCCAAGAAAATCCCAGATGGGGTCACAAAGAGTCAGACACAACTGAAATAGCTCAACAGCAACAAAAAAGTGCATAAAGGGAATGTGAAGTGCTGGGAGATGGGAGACATGATTTACCTGGATGGCAATAAGGGAAAGTTGAGGGGAAGTCACTTGAGCTGTGCTTTGATGCTATGATTTCCCACTGAGAAGTCTGAGAGTCTATGACTCTATAAATTATGAGAATAGATCTTTATGCCAAAAATGATGCTGGTCACAATTGTGTGAGGGGTCCTTTTCCATCCCTTAATCTATTTAATTCAACAAATATTTATTGTGTAACTTATATATATGCAAAGTACTATACTG